TTGGGATAAAATTATTACAGGTGTACCAGTTTGGGATTTTTGGTGGTTAAAAAATTAGTTCGGTGTAAAATTGTCACAAGTGTATCAGTGTGGGGTTTTTTGTGGTCAAAAAAATAGTTCGGGGTAAATTTATCACAGGTGTACCAGTTTGGGGTTTTTGGTGGTCAAAAAATTAGTTCGGGGTAAAATTATCACAGGTGTGCCAGCTTGGGGTTTTTCGTAGTATTAACCCATTATAGTATTTTTTTTTTGGTAAGGACCCCATTATAGTATTCGTATCTTCTATAATGTATTATAATGTTAGCGCGTCTAAGATTAAGAAGAACGTCAAAATTTGATGCTTCGCACATCATAGAAATATAGCAAACAAGTAAATTCCGACTGAAGTTTTCCTAAAGATAATATCAACCTAAGAAAGCAAAAAAATAAGTGCAGAAAATGAAATCTGGAACATTTTTTTGTTATTAATGAATTTTACTTCGAATCAATTGGCTCAAGTTCTGTCTTTCTAGTATATTGCACGGAGGATTTTTTTTTTTTATATTTACAATACTTTCGTTTTATGTATTTTTTGACTTGTAAATTAACAAAAACTTTGAAGCTTTAGAATGGCAAAACAAATTATATCTTTGATAATATATCTGAAAAGTCTTTTCTTTTTTTTTTCTCATATTTCGAAATTTGAACTCAATAAGAAATAGTGGTTCGGAAATGACTAATCAATAAGCTAATACGTATTGGTCAAATGCGGACCACATGACAAGGCCATGCCAACTTATCGGTTCGATTCCTGCGTCGATTTGATCCTCCTTCTACTGTTAGTCCCAATTCGGCAAGTTTTTATGTGCATCGTGTGCTCGAAGCCTCCTCTGGTCATCAAAGGATAGGATTCGGTTGGGAAATATCTACAGCTTCGAGTTCTATTTCGACACGATGACTCTGTAGGTCCTCTCTCGGGGTAAATTCATGGCCGGAAAAGGACTCGGTTCGCAAGGACCGGATTGATCGTGACTATTAATCAAACGAGCGATGATTGTGATTGCATTCGGTCCGAACCCGAATCTCTACTTTGAAAGCAGTTTCTTGTGACAATTAATATGAATGCGACACGAGATGACTAGGGTTCTTCAAAGAGCCATATCTACCGGATCGTAGAACACAAGATTGAAGTCCTATTTAGGCTCCATTTGCTTTGTGGATAACGAATGATTTGGAATAATATTTTCCTAAACATGATCGCTCATATCGCCCAGTTAATTATTTGAAGCGATATGATGGACGAGCTCTCTCTAACTCTCTCGTTCCGAGCTAAACAAATGCATGAAAAGAAATCAATTTCCTTATGAGCCATCACGACCGTATCGCTCCAAATGCTCTTGATAGAATAAAGCGCAGCACTTGTTAATTAGAACAATTGCAAAATTGATTATTCAAATAATCAAATTGCGTGGGTTGATTAATTATTTGCCCCCACATGCTTCTCGTTTGTAATTATTTATTGGTGTTATTAATGTGTGGATTTATTTTTCTTCTCACCTAAGCTATTTTCGGATTTTCTTCCTTACTTTATCCTAAATATGATTAATCAAATTATAAATGTTGGTAGCGTGCACGCTAACATTAACCACCTTCTAGGACTTGAGCCATCCAATCAACATCCTAACCTACTTAGTTCGTGGGATTATCTGCTTTGATCTGTTCCATGCCGAATCTCGCGGATTTTGTTCGCTTTGGCGTGAGCGTGACCGCGGTCAGGCAAACACTTTCTCGAAAAATCGCCCATCTTTATAGTGCTTTCATTCGAGTGCACGTTTGATACCAGAGCTCTTATGGGTTATTTCAATTTCATGTATTTAATCCATCGACTCTCTTCTTCTTCTTCTTGATGTATGGCCTGCTTTATCTGTCAATAACCGCACCTTTGTTGTTGAATTTCTCTTTGATTGATTAATTGGGTGTATTCCGAATCCTCATCACCGGCTTATTTGTCAACTTTTTTCACTGTCTTCCCAAAATAAAAAATAAAAAATAAAAAACCAAACTCTCTGCCTTGATCAAGATCATAATGCACAATAAGTTGGATTATAACTTATAATTTGCCATATGCGCACAAGTGATTAGCGAGAGGGTTGGATTGGACTTCAAACAACTCAATTCAACATTTCTAATATCCGATGAAATGGTCCACTCACTTTTATGCCAATCAATTACCTCGTCAACTCGTAGAAAATTATAAGCTGGTAAGAGTGTCGGTCATCCCCCGACGACGAACGTCAAGTTCAAGGTACTATACCTGTGTATTCTATAGGGTCGCTCTCAAGGACACGAATTTGCGAGTTTCGATAGCTACCCGCGCGATGCGCACGAAACGGGAACTACACCACTAAACAGCAAGTTTAGTCGAGAACCAAAGATCCCCCAGTTGACTAAACAGATTTACAGGCCCCATCGTGGTCAAAACGCCATTGCGGTCGACATGTTCGTACCGAACGCCTTTTGTTTTCCTTGCTAGGGTCATAAGAAACATGTTTGGCTAAGTTCTGTCACCGTCTTTTGAACCTGAAAAATGTTGCCGAGAAGGTTGACTTTTACAACATTAGTCCTGGCCAACGGCATTGTTGACTGGGACCAGGGTATTCCAATCCTTGTGTCTTGATGACCCAATTTTTGGCGACGAGCTTTCACCAGGATGTGCATTGACTAGGGCTCTAACGAGAACTCCAAGAATCCTAGGGTTGCTGCATTGATTTCCTTCTCTTCTTCTTCTTCCCTGGAACAGACAATTTCATTAGGCGCGCACTGCACGCAAAGCCGCTAGCCCTACCCTACAAATCCAACGGAATGCGAGCATTATTGAGCGCTTACATTTGCGGAGCCAAATCTTGACATTTCCATCTTTCAATCGATTCAAAAATTGCGAGAATTAATTCAAGTATCCGCCCTCAATTTGTATGTCCCATATTAGCTGCTAGGACACTTGACGTGGCTACTGATGTGGACGCGTAGGATATACACGTTAGCAAGACGAAACGATGGTGTTTCTTGCCACGAAAGAACGACGCCGTGCTTCTTGCTGGTCGGAAAACTTGACGGTGAGTGTTTTTGTCCATCAAAGTGAAAGTTCATGCATTTTTTTTAAATCGCCTGAAAATGGGGATATCTTTATCGCGTCGATGTCGGTTCGTGTGTTCTTTTTTTGGAGATTTGGCAAACTTACGAGGAATTTCATCACCGTATAAATCCAAACTCGTGTGTATGATAACCCATGAATATACTGGCCAAGCCATGTTGCCTTTTAACTTTTCAACTAAATCAATTCGTCTAGTTCGAGACTTTTCTCACGGTTCAAGAGAAATATAGATCAAAACTTTTTTTTTTTGTCTGTCCTACTCTAACGCTTAACTTACTCTCAGACTTTTGCCCTGCCTCTTTATAAAGCGTGGGAGTCGAAACTCAAAGTTGTACTTATGTAACATATTTACCTTTCCGCCACGTGCACGACTGCACGTGTATGTTGTCGCTCGGTCTTAACAGCATCAAGCTTGCTTGAGCACCTCAAGTCTGAGGCTCGAGCTTGAGGTCATCAAGCTCAATCGAGATTTAGGAGTCACTGAGTTTGGCAGCCGAGAGAGAGAGAGAGAGAGAGAGAGAGAGAGAGAGAGAGAGAGAGAGAGAGAGAGAGAGAGAGAGAGAGAGAGAGGGGCTTCAAGGAGGATGCTGTCGGCAATGAGGCGGTGGCACGACCTAAGGTTGCTGCGAGGTGGGCGATGGAGGTGGAGATCAAGAGGAGTGGTTGCCGATCAGGTTTTTATGGTGGGCGGGTCTGCAATAGCCGGAGAGATAAACTTGGAAGGAAATTGACAATTTGGTGAATAGCACCGGAACAACACACGACCTTGCAATTTGAAATGAAATCACAAAAGTGATAATGCAAAAATTGCAAAAGAAGTTGTGGAAAAGATAATTCTTATGATTTCCCTCCATAATGTTCTTTTCGTGTTCTCTTCATTTCCCAACTTATTTATAGCAAAGTACGAATGTCCTTCTATATTCGATGGATTAACCTACCAAAAAAATGTCATATGCACAACCAATAAGTGCAAAAAAGTATCATATGTAGGGGTGAGCATAGTTCACGGTAGAACCTAGAACCAACGAATCATACTGGTGGGAACATGTCCAGTTCTAGGGTATGTAGAATAAGTTCCAAGTTTCATAAATTGGGGAACCTGTTTTGACAGGTAGGTTTCACGTTTCAGGTAATTGGAACTTTTTTCTTGATCTATATTTTCGCGTGATCTTGTGGTATTTTATGCCGTCCGATAATGAGTGTATAATTAAAATCATTAGTATGAGCTTCCAATTTATGATCGAGACTTTTACTTTGTTATTATTTCCTATTCTTCGAGTGTATAAATATAAGTGGTGATTATTAAATGTGATGATTCGTTACCGTTCTTCAATTAATAATACTAGGTAGACCCTGGAAGTTGTAACATGATAGATTAGAGTAAGTTTTAGGTTTCAAAAAATGAGAAATCTATTTTAATAGATAGGTTCCAGGTGGAACTTATACAAAACCTGCTGAAACCTGGAACCGCCTATATATGAAGCAATTAAGTCAAATACACCCTTACAACGAAGTATTTTGAGTATCAAGAGCAAATCTAAGGCCCCTTTTGATATCTAAGAATTTTCCAAGTTTCCTTCCTCTCTTTTCCAGGGCATTTATTGTTCGGCCGAAAATGGAGAAACCATCTTGATGTTTTTCCAAGGAGCAAATTGGGCTTACTTTGGAAACGTCCCAAAAAGAGAAATTTGATGGGGGCATGGTGCCCGTTGAGAGTTCCAGGGTGAAAAAGATTAAGCAGGGGTTAATGATGGCTTTGACTGGTCAAACACATACTAATCATTTTGTGTGTGTGGGGTCACCCTGCCGTGAACAGCCAATTTTCCCCAAGAAGAGAACAGAGCATCTGACAGTTGTTTTGTTAACGTAAATCTTCCACAAAGTTAACGTTTGTTCTTCATCCAGAAACCCTTCTTCCGTAGATAAAGCCATTCAACCCTATCCTTATTCCCGTGCCTTTTTTTGAATACTATTCTGTTATTGCTGTCGTCGTCGTCGTCATCGTCTTCACTTTCCTCTGACAGTCATCTTTGTCCTCTGCCACCACATCTCAGAAGGTATCAAGAATATGAAAACGAAGCCATGACTTGAGCTTCCACTCACCGTCAGGGAGAGAGAGAGAGAGAGGTAGAGGGTGTCATCCTTTTCTTGTTTTCATCTTCTTTTTACATGATAATCTGATCACTGAGATCTAGAGAGAGAGAGAGAGAGAGAGAGATGGACAAAAGCTGTCATTCGTCCAGTGACTCCACCACCAGTAGCAGCAGCTCCTCCGCAATCGCCGCCGCCGCCACAAACGTCAGCGACAGTTATCTAAAGCACCTCAACAGACTCTCCCACAAGGTCTCCAAACCCACCACCAAGAGAACCTCCTCTGACCACGGCCGCGACCACCCTCCGCCCCCGCCGCCGCAGCAGCCGCAGCCGCCGGTGTACAACATCAGCAAGGATGAGTTCCGGGAGGTCGTCCAGAAGCTCACCGGCTCCCCCGCCCACGACAGGTTCTCCTCGCCGCCGCCTATCCAGCCCCCGAAGCCCCCGAGCTCCCGCCTCCAGAGAATCCGCCCTCCGCCTCTGGCCCACCTCGGCAGCCGCCCGCCACCGCCGCTGCTCAACAGCGTTGCCCCAGAGAAGTTGCATCCGGTTGACCCGGACACCCAAATCGCGGCCGCCGCCGCCGGTGCAAACCCTGGGGCGGACAGCGGGTTCAATCCAATGGCGCCGTTGGTATCGCCCCCGTCGCCACTGCCACCGTTTCCAGCATTCAACTTGCCTGCTGAATCGCCAGTCTCGGCCTACATGCGGTACCTCCAGAGGTCGGCGTTGGACGCCGGCTCGAAACCTGACCAGTTTTCTGGATTCTTGCCTTTATCCCCACTTGTTTCGCCGTGGTGGAGCAACGTAGCTCCGCCACCGTCTCAGCCGCAGCCGCCGCTGCAGCAGATTGTGTCGGCACAGCAGGGGATCCTACCTCCTCCGTCCATGTCGCCTCAGCCGCCGCTGTTTCAGCTTCCGTCGTCACCCCTGCCTTTCGGGTTCTTAAACTCGCCGCGGTCGCCGTACGCTCTACTTTCGCCAGGCCTGCTGTTTTCGCCTATGTCGGGACAATTGGGGTGTCCTCAGTTCCCGCTCTCGCCGACGCCGGTGCCGAGCCCTAAACACAGAGGGCTTTAATTGATTGAGAGGTATGTGTTTTTGCAGGTAAGTTTTAAGGACAAGAAAGGATAATTATTTTGGTCTAGTCTTGGTGTTCCTGGTTCTTGTACATTTTTGGAGGATACAAAGGTGGTTCAGATCAATGGTGGGGGAGTGCAAAGTTTTTCACTGTTCATCAAGTATAGAATGCTTATGTAAATAGGTGCCAAAAGACAATTTGGTCTGGCTTAAAATCATTATACATGTCATGTTCTTTGTAGTTGTTAGATTTGTCCATGTTGTTGATCTCTTATTCTTCTATGGATTGAACTTATTTGTGCTTTGATTATGTTCGGTCTGGTTTGGTCTGGTTTATGCCTTTGCCTCATGAGTCATGACAGTACCGTCGGCTATGAAGAGCTCTATTAACTAGTTGTGACAATACATGGACTTCCAGATATTTTAACGTTGGAGGAAGGCTGAGTTGTTGCTGTCTATGTAGGATTGTTCATGTTAGCCTTTCTAATGTTGGAACTGTGCTTATATGCTTGTATGCATTAGGACATTCCAATAAGGCGCGTTTGAATGTTAGGACATTCCAATAAGGCGCGTTTGAATGTTAGGACATTCAGAATGCAAGCAAACTTTAAGGAAATTCGCAAAATGCAAAGCCTAAGGATCTTCGCGTTCATTTCCATCGGCATATTACGCACTTGGCCTAGATTGTCGCCACAATTCGCGTAAATGCATTTATGTTACGAAGCTCCTTGCTTTGCCAGCACCCAACAACTCAGCGCTCGATCACGGAACAGGCCCTATCGTGCTCTTTCTACACGCCAGTTAAGTGTAAGGTCTTATGGCATAAAACTTGAATCTCTTTGTATCATCTCAATTCCTACCAATGTCCTCCTAAGTCTGCCTTATCTTTCAACTTCAAGTTTGAAATAATATCTTCTTTGCTGAGTGTCAGTCTATAATGAAAGCGTCCTTTCACCTTTCTTGGTTCCTGTCCACATCCTCTTAGGTCTACCTTACCCTTTGAACCGGCACTACCACCCACCACAGATTATTATCTTCTCCATCATGAGTTAAGCTCGCTTTCAAAGTAATAACAATTAATACTTAAGAAGAGCCCTCGACCGGGTGTGTGTTCATCTCATCTTTGGACGTTCAACAGAGCAAATGATCTTGGTTGAGAGCCAGACGGCCTTGACCCGCACTACGGCTCAGGGATCCTCTCACCGACCGGGTCTAGACAAGAATTTGCGGCAATGCTAGATCGGTTTATGGGAACTTATTTGCGTGATGACACGACAAAAACTAAATGGGCCTCAAACAAGCGAGATTCTTGTAAACATCTATACAAAGTTTGTCATATAGCTTTGAGATACATCTAATAAATCAATTTAGGCTGTAATTTCGCGCACTAATCGTCTTAACACCAAAGCCATTTATCATGGTTTGTTTGAGCAATGGAATGCAACTCATGAAATGGTACGATTTTCCGATGCAAAAACTACCAAGCGATGCAACCCTTGTTCAAATTGAATGCTGGTACATACCCGCTTGTTTAAGATCTTGTTAAGATCCTATAGCTAAGATCGCATCAAGTAGGAAAAGATCATGGGTTTTCAACGCATAAACAAGAGACGGAGACGAATACATACACGGCACGGAAACTAATAAACCACGAGGCTTACCCTAACCATATTGTCAACACAGAGTTTGGCTGAAAGTGTGGACAAAATTGAAGATAAAGTTAAGGGCCAGGACGGCAGCTCATGACTTGGAAGAAGCTTCAAGTAGTTAGAAGTTAGATAACCATATGATTGATATCTTACTAATTGTATATGCGATAATTAGGTGGAGTGGGACAGTGGAACCATAAAATGATCTACCGTCACCTTGGATATAGATTGATAAGGATTTTGATCGATAGATTCAGTCTTTCCCTAATTTTTTTTCGTGTTATTAGTTATATGAGAAATGTCTTTGGTGGGTCTTCATCATCTCTATGCTATGTCTGTCTGAAGCCAATTGCTATCATGGAACGATGTACGATGGCTCTTTTTGGGTAAATCAATCTTTAGAGCATATGTACCTCGACTCGGACATAGAATAGCTGCTTAATTTTTCGAGGCACCACGGACATTATACATCAATTTTTGCGCGTCTAATGCATCGGTGGATTTGGGAGAGGATATAAAAAGTCCTAAACTGTATACATTTGCTCCACGCATTCTCCGGACATTGACATACACACCATTCTCAATTTTAGTGACCCGGGGTTTCTTCAATTCTCTTTGGAAGCCATCGCACGGCTTTCTTACCGAAAGATACGATCATCTGTCTTCACCGAATCTCGGTACTTCAATCATTTGATCCCTATTGGAACTACCACTCCTTTTATTCTCTTTAAAACACTCCTCTACTCAAACATTATCGAACCACTTGTTCAGTCAACTCACACGATCATCCCCTGGTGTCATCAACCTTTCACAGAACAACTATTGCCAAGTACCCTTCTAACACAGCCAAAAAATAACTACCAGACCCCAGATAAATCAGTCAAGCCCATCAGCTAAGAGAGAGCATAGGCCATCATGAAAGCAGAAACAATCTGGAATGGACACGGAGGACTTTTATCGTGTTCAATTGAGATATTGAAGCATTAGGAATCCAAGAGAAATAAGAGTCATTTGGAAATACATAAGACTTCGATAAGACAAGCGACACCAGAATTCTGTTACAGAGAGACAATGAACCTAGCACCCAGAATTGCACATGAATCAGTAGCCAGCAATCTTTCCCCAGTTAAAAACAGATAAGAGGACAACTTCTATATTGATATTGATGAGAGCAGCTGAGGCATCACTATTGCTCATCAGGCTTCCCTGATTCTTTGATCTCATCCGCTCCATCATCCTGAGACATACAAACAGAGAATGTCATATACAAACAGTTGAACCATTGGAAAAAGCTTTGCATATCTCATATCCCGCATGTAAATTGCATCATATTCGTCAAAAGACATAGATGAGTACCTGCATGTCGGATGTCCACAAGGTGAGGTTGTCTCTGAGAAGCTGCATGATCAAAGTGCTGTCTTTGTAGGATTCCTCACCAAGAGTGTCCAACTCAGCAATTGCTTCATCAAAGGCCTGCAAAAGAGAGAGGATATATGCATAAACAAAAGGGACATCATACATGGATTGGAACCAAACCCTATAAGCCAGGCTTTAGCAGAATTAAAGCGTCATGGCTCGTTACAACATTAAACATCCGGTTAAACTCCATCACTCCATCATCTTCGTAATTTACATAGGTTTCAAGATAAGAAACTTCATTACAGATCCAGGGCTTTAAAGAAAAAAATGAATTGGCACTTTAAAGACTCAAGATAGTGCAAGGAATACAAACATAGATCGCAATTTCTTACTTGTTTGGCGAGACCACAAGCACGGTCGGGAGAATTGAGAATCTCATAGTAGAAAACAGAGAAGTTCAAAGCCAGCCCAAGCCGAATTGGGTGAGTAGGAGCCAGTTCTGCATTCGCAATATCCTGGAAACAAGCCATAGCATTACGCCAAGCACGACAAGATAAGATAACGGGCAACAGATCCTATCGATGTGTAGTAAATTGGGTCAGGGAACATTTGAACTTGAGAAGTTTCTAAGTCCGTTCATACTGAGAGCAGCCTAAGTGGCATTTAATTTGCTAGTTATGCATCTTGTAATTCGTATGAACAGGTAATTGTACTCTCTCCCTCTCTCTCTCTCTCTCTGAGAAACTGCAGTTAGCTTGCTATATATTTCCATGTCCATCAAACGAAACGCGCACAAATATTAAAGACAGAACAAAAGGGTACGTCATAGGGGGAACAATCTTTCCTTACTCATCTCACAGAAGAACGACGGTAACCTCCTCTTTCCGAATTGAATGTGTACGCATCAGTTCCATCAAAGGTAGTCAGAAGTATCTCAAGATCTAAGAAGATAACCATGAAGCTATACCGATATCTTGCACATATTACAGAGACAATGGAAAGTCCGAATAGCAATAGTTCGAAGCAGTAAACCTACATTTTTCCCTACAACAAATCATCTCTCGAAAGGTAGGTAAGACGCAATCAACTAAAATTTTCGCACGCAAATTACACATCAAACAAGCCAATCAGGTCCAAGCACCTTACGCCTACCAGATCCAGACTAGTATAATCAAATCTAAGCCCGGAGTTTCCAACACAACCAAAATGCATCGTGAATCGACGGCGCGAAGGAAGAGGACGAGCGCGAGCCGCGCAAGGGACTAACCTGAGCGGCCTTGTAGGCGGTGAGGGTGCTCTCGGCGGCCTCCTTGCGCTCGCCGCCGGTCTTGAACTCGGCCAGGTACCGGTGGTAATCCCCCTTCATCTTGAGGTAGAACACCTTGGAGTCGCCGACGGAGGCGGAGGGGATGAGGCGGGAGTCGAGGAGGCCGAGGATGCCGTCGCAGATCTTGGAGAGCTCGGCCTCGATCTTGGCGCGGTAGTCGCGGATGGCGGCGACGTGGTCCTCGTTGCCGCGGCTCTCCTCCTTCTGCTCGATGGAGGAGATGATCCGCCAGGAGGCGCGGCGGGCGCCGATGACGTTCTTGTAGGCGACGGAGAGGAGGTTGCGCTCCTCGACGGTGAGCTCGTCGGAGGCGTCGGCGGCGGCGGAGACCTTCTCCATGAACTCCACCATCTCCTCGTAGCGCTCGGCCTGCTCGGCCAGCTTCGCCATGTAGACGTACTCCTCGCGCGGCGACGACGGCGGCGGCGGCGCTGCGGCGGCGGCGGGGGGGGCGGCCATCGGACTCGGATTCGAAATTCGTCGGGTTAGAGAGAGAGAGAGAGAGAGAGAGAGAGAGAGACAGGGACAGAGAGGCTAGAGGAGGACAGGGAGGGGCGATAATAACGTGCGGGGGAAGATGGAAGGAGAACCGTCGGATTGGGGGGGCGGGATGGAAGGAGAGCCGTCGGATTTTCGGGGGGGGGGGGGGGATTGGAGTTTGTTTTGTTGGGCTGGTGGGGGATGGTGCTGAGCTGGCGAGCACGGGAGGTGGGGCCCGCGGTGGGGAAGCGTGCGTTGTTTGTTTGACTTTGAAAAAGTGTTCTTTCTTCCTTTCTTTTCTTTTCTTTTCTTTTCTTTTTTTTTTTGGTTGAAAATTCGGAGAGATTTTTTTTGGATTTTGATTGGGCGGTTTGCAATTTTCCGCACGACATGAATTGGGGGGGGGGGGGGGGGGGGGGCTCCTTAGTTAAGTGGGGGAATCCACACGCAACCATATTAATAAGAGGTGTGCAGAGAAATCTATAACCG